ACAGGAGCTTGAAATCAGCATCTTAGGACAATCGAGTGGACACCGGAAGTCCCTCAACACGTGGCTCCCCAAAGCACCACAGCATCCTTGCCTCACCTGGGAGCAGACGAAATATGCGTTCGTAAGAACGCAGACGCCAGGGGCCAGGAAGAGGCCTGTCGCCTCCGGCAGATGTTTCGGCCTCCATCTCTGATGTCACACTTCCCATGGTCACCGCGGGCACCGGGGGGCTCCGTCTTCAAGGCCACACATGAGCTGTGGACAGAGCTTTCCCACGTAGCGGGCCCCAAAGTCTGCTCTGCTGTCCCTTCCCGTCAAGCCTGCCGTGGCCTCCCAGGGAGACACAGGTTGATGGACGTGGGCCGAGCTGGTCCAGGTGACAGCCTTCCTGGGGCTTGGACCCCGCCGGCCCCCTGGGCTGTCCCCTGTGGAGCAGACCTGGGTCCCGCGTGTGGGGACCGCTGCCCCTATGAGTCCCTGCTCCCGGTACCTGGGATCAAGCCCCAGTTTGGGGTACAGTCTCCTAAGAGACACGCACACTGCCACAATGCTGCCCCCTCTCCGGGTCCTAGGATCTGTGGATGCAGTCCACGAGTGGCCTTGGCCATAAAATGCCAGCGTTCTGTGTGAGGTTTGCCGCTGCCCCAGCTCAGATTTGTAGGCTGGCTGTTAGCAGACACAGCAGGTAGCTCTGAGGACCCGCCTTACTGACGGGTCCCCCGGCACACCTGGCTCTGGACGGAACACGCAGGCCCTTCTGGCCTCGTCAGTGAGTGATTGTGAACCAGACACGGGCCCTACGGCTTGCTACTGGAGCGGCGTCCTCGGGTTGAATGTGATCCATAGCTGGCGAGCCTTCATTCGTTTATTCATTTGTTCACTCATTCATTCATTCAGTGCAACCCTTTCCTGAACTCTCTATGCCAGGTTCCGAATTGGGCAGGGACACAGTCCGGCATGCCCTCACCCGGTGCTGGCCTCCAAGTCACACGTGATACGGGTGGTCTGGGGTGCAGCTCGGGGGCTGGCAGTGGCATCCAGCAGCAGGAGGTCACCCAGCTGCTCCAGTCTTTCCCCAGAGTCTGTCCCAGGCTCGGAGCCTATCCTGGTCACCACACGCTCAGATCCTACAATGCTTTTAATCACCACGAAGCAGCTCGTGGAGTCTCAACCTGCATTTTGGATACACGGGCCAAAGCCCAGTTTGAAGGAGCTGATTACTCCCTCTGTCCATTTATTCTTCCATTCTTAACGGCTTCTGCTCCTCCGGACCTATCAGCAGGGAGGTCGTCGTGGGGACTTCCTGCGTTCCGGACACTGCTTCCAATTCAGACTCTGCCTTCCCTGCCTTCTTAATGCCCTCCCCACCCCCCAGATCCCGACATTGAGGACACTGCCTGGTGGCTCACGGCTGGCAGCTCTGGCTTTGAGACCTTCCACACCCACACACGCTAATTTTACTGCCACCCCCCCCACCTGTCACCGTGATCCTGCACTCTCTTCGTACCCCGCCTCCGTTAGGGATTCCACTCGAACCTCCAGATCCTGGATCGAACAGCAGCTCGGCGTGGCCTCTGGCACCCGTGATCGGGGGCAGGTCCCCCATCTACCCTGCACGAGTGCTGTGCCTTTGGACACAGGCCCCTCTGTGCCTCCAGTTCCTGCTTCGAAAGACGGAGGCAGATAACGTGCCTACCTCACAGGGCCGCTGTGTTCATTCAGTCCTGCATTCATTCACTCACTCATTCATTCATTCCTGCGTTCAGTATTTACAGAGCCTACCAGGGAGCAACATAAGTGCTCTCCCTCCAGGGCCGACCCAGCCCGCAGGACTGCGTGTGCCTGAGCGGTGGCTCTTGCCACCGCCACCGTCGCTTCTCTACTTCGTTCCCGCAGCCTGTGCCACACTTCCGTGTCCCCCCCTCCGTTTTCTCTTGAAAAATCCTCCCTGTCGCTGGCTTGTCAGGAGGACCCTGATGGAGGCTCCGTCTGAGAAAAGGACAGCCACACATAATACACGTTCTGTCACAAACATCTGAGATCTTCTAGTTAAAATGCCCCAGATGCCTCCTGCCACAGATTCTACCAGCATCCTCTTTTTTTTTTTCTAACGTTTATTTATTTTTGAGAGACACAAGGAGACAGAGCACGAGCAGGGAAGGGGCAGAGAGAGAGGGAGACACAGAATCCAAAGAGGCTCCAGGCTCCGAGCTGTCAGCACAGAGCTGGACGTGGGCTCAAACATGGACCACGAGATGATGACCTGAGCCAAAGTCAGAGGCTTAACTGACTGAGCCCCCCAGGCGCCCCCAGAATCCTCCCTCTTCATCCTTCTTGGGTCCAACTCTTCCTAGAAACCAGATGGGCATTTTCTGAATATAAATCTGTGCCGGTGCCGTGGTGTTTCATGGCGGACCCAGCCTCTCTCAACGCTGCTTGCGCAAGGAAGTTTACTTGTCATATTGACAGTAGATCTATGAAAAAATGCCTTCTGAATTCAAAACCAGCAGGCAGGGGCCCCTTGTCCAGCAGTCGGAACAGCTCAGTTCCTTATGAGGCAAATCAACCCAGGAGAACTCAGCCTGTGGGTGGGCTCTCCCTCTGTGAAACTGAACGCACATGCACACATGTGTGCACTCCTGCACACACATTCTGCCATGTGTGCATATTCTCACATGTGCGTATATGTACGTTCCCACACATGCCTGCACATGAGTGCACCCTCCCGCACGCTCACACACCCCCTGAAGCCACGCAGTGTCAGGAGGTGGGCCCCGGGCCTCAGGCCTGCTTCTGTGACCTCTGTGGTTCGCACACGTACATGGTGTGATTCTCTGTCGCTCACACTCCCCCCTCTCCCCGTGTGTTTCCTGGCGTTCTGAGACATTTCACTCCTCTTTCCTTTTCCATTTATCTTCCAAAGCTCTGGTCTCTTACAGAGTCTCCCGTTAAGTGGGTGTGGAGTCTCACAGACCGTCACTGGCCTGCTCTGGCGGGCAGCTCCGGGCCCATCCCGCGGGCGCAGGCTGGCACCTCCTGTACTTGCAGCAGCTGGACCCGGGACTCAGAGGGCCACCCGCCTGCCCAGGGTCCCCAGCCCGGCAGGGGGAATGGGGCGGTCGGGCCCGGGCCGTCGGAACCGCCGTGAGGTAGGGCCGTGCTCACACCGCAATGTGGGTCCCCCAGAGGCCCAGGGACCCCCGGGGGTGCGGGCCCTACTGACAAGCTCGACTTCCCTGGGTGCTGTGTTGTGTTTTCCCTCCTCAGAGGGCTGGGCAGGGGGCGCCTGGGCTTCGCCGAGGCCCCTGGGGTGGGGGGTTCCATAGGGCCTCGTGGTGGGCTTACAGGAGGTGCCTGTGTCATTTCCAGCACCACCTTCGCCCACCGGAGGCTCCTTGCAAAGCAAAGTGTGACCCTTTGTCTCAGACCTTTGAGCTGAGCTGTTTGAGGGCCAGAGGCTCCCCGGCCTCGCCGAAGCCCCCAGCCTCAGTCGCCTGGAGATAAAACCCGGTGCCCGCAATTCTTTCCTCTCAGAAAAGCAGTTTCCCCAGCATTCTGTCTGCAGTCTTTGGAATCGGACCGATGTGTGTCTGAGCCTCTGTTGTTAATTTGAAAAATGGGGCTCCTGACCCCTTCCTGCTTGAATTAACCCGATCGATGTGCCAATATCTCTGAAAGCGCCTTGGAAATGGCAGGCCTCAGCTAAGTGTCTGCTCCTCAGGGTCATTTGTTCGCCATCACGTAGGAGTATCTTCTTTTAAAGAATCCCGGTAAGGGGCGCCTGGGTGGCTCAGTCGGTTAGGCGTCCGACTTTGGCTCAGGTCGTGATCTCACGGTTCGTGGGTTTGAGCCCCGCATCGGGCTCTGTGCTGACACCTCAGAGCCTGGAGCTGCTTCAGATTCTGTATCTCCTTCTCTCTCTGACCCTCCCCTGCTCACTCTGTCTCTGTCTCTGTCTCTCTCTCAGAAATAAATAAAACATTTTTTAAAAATGAAGACAGCAGGGCCTTCTGTGAGCCGCTTTTCTTGTTTATTTTATATAACAGCTTTATTGAAATAATTCACATGGCATACAACTCTGCTGTTACAAATCATTGATTTTCAGCATATTCTCGGCTACACAACCACACCACAAACAGTTCTAGAACCTTCTCATCACCCCAGAGAGAAGCTGCATACTCATTAGCAGCCACTCCCCACCTCCCCGTGACCCACCAGCCCCACGCCAGTGTTAATGTGCCTTCTGCCTCTGTGGATTTGCCCATTTGGGGCCTTTCTTGTAGAGGGAATCCTACAATTTCTGGTCTTCTGTGATGACGTCTTCCCTTGGCATCGTGCTTTCAAGGCGCCTCTGTGCTGTAGCGTGGGTCCGTGCTTGTTTACTTTTCTCGCTGGGTAATCCATCTTATGAATGTGCCACATTTTCTCCATCCCATCATCAGCTGATGTGCATTTGGGCTGTTGTGAGTAACGCCATCACGGGGCCCGTGTACAAGGTTTTGTGAGAACGTCAGTCCTTAGTTCTCTGGGGTGCATACCTGGGAGTGGCATTGCCGTGTCGTTTGGTAAAAGGTTCAGCCTTTTAAGAAACTCCCGACTATTTCCAAAGCAGCTATGCTCGCTCATCCCCGCCAGCGATGCGTGAGGGTCCTGATTTCTCCACGTTCTCACTTGTCAGCTGACTTTGGGTGCGGCCATCCAGGTGGATTTTGTAACAAAACCTTCCGGAAGGAATAGGTATCTGTAGAGGGTAGGGAACGGGCTGTCATTTTGTCAGCGGCCTAGGCTATCCGCTGTGGTGATTTTCAAGAGCTCCCAGGGAAGCCAGGTTTATATCATGAGCTCAACACGCCCCGATCACGCACCCCCGTGCCCAGCACTGGTCGCGGCCGTGGCACCTGCCCCTGCATAGCCGGAGGGCTTTGTCTTTTACGACTTGTTCCCAGGGTGGGGAGCAGCCTCCCCGTGTCTAATCTGCCACATGGCCATTCTCCATGCAGGTGTCACCATGAAGCTCATGGATGAGGTGGCTGGGATCGTGGCGGCACGTCACTGCAAGACCAACATCGTCACTGCTTCCGTGGATGCCATCAACTTCCATGACAAGATCAGAAAAGGTAATGGGGACTCTGCCGACAGAGAGAAGGCGGGTGGTCTTTGGCTGTCTGGCTGCCTTTGCCGGTTTGCTTTTGGTTCGTGCCTCGTGTCACCTACACCCTGGCGTCCGCCCATTTGCCATGAGGGGCAGGAAGCCAGGGTCTTGTGCTCTGTTCTTATTGGTGCATCTGTGAGGCTGGGATTGGCTCGCTTGACTGTTCAGTCTCATAAGACTTATAACTCTTGTTTGGGCCTTTACCCTCCTGAAAAGCACTGTGAACTCATCCTCAAAGTGCTCCATGAACAGAGCCCTCGGAACATGTCATGCGCACAGTCCAATGACTATTGTCACCAGAGTGTACCCCGCCGTGCACGTTCCCTCCGGGGGAGGACTAACCCTTGACGTAGGTAGTGGCAGGATCGTGCGGAGAAGCCCAGCGACCACGGTCCCGGCCCGGCCCGCCCGCACACCCCGGGGCAGCGCTGGGCTTCGTTCTGTCCCCAGTCCCAGTGACGCAGCCGCCACCCACGCGGCACTTGCCGTCTCCCTGTGCATTTGCCACCACGGGAGACGGCCGCTGCTGCAGCTGTGACATAGCCGTCCCCTCCCAGGATGCGGTGATTTCCGTATGTGTTGTGTCTTCCGAGTGGAGGCCCTGGGCCCCAGAAATAAGGCGCTTGGCCACGGGGTTGCAAGAGCTCGACATTGATTCTGGATCAGCACTGCTGTGACAGCGGCCTCCCTGGGAAAGCTGTTGGGTCAGACCAGTCCCCGGCTGGGGCGGTGATGACGCGGGAGAAAGGCACACCTCCCGGCGAGCAGAGCAGTGCTGGTCTGAGCCCCTCCCTGGTGCCCCTGAGGTCTTATCGACCCTAGAAGGCCCCAGGCCGGCACCACCACTGAGCTCCATCCTGGAGAACACGGCTGGCGAGGGAGCGCCCAAAGGCCGGGGCAGCCGGGTGCTGGAATCGGAAGGGTGGGGGGCTGCCTGCCGGCAGCAGGCCAAGCACACCCCGGTTGGTGTGGGTGTTTTGAGGGTGAGGAAAAGGCCTGTGGTGCTGCTCCCTCTGCTCCGCAGAATCCCTTCCTGACTGGTAGGTGTTTGCCACAGACCCGGCGTCCTGTTAGGATTCGCCCCAGACGAGCAGCCTCATCTGGCCCATCTTGGCTCGTCCTCTGTGGGCCGCAGGTGCTGTGTGCAGCGGCAGCACGAATGTTTGGGAAAGGAAGAATCCGTGCCTCCCTTTTTCTCGAACTCCTCCCTGGAAGAAAAATCCCTGCGATCAGAACCTCATTGTTCAATCCAGCTTCAAGATCCGCGGTGGGAGACACACTCACAGGCCGTGACCTTGCTCTGCTCAGTGTCTCCTGAGTGTCCCGTGCGAGCCGCCTCTAGGAAGAGACAGACTTTCCCGGAGAATCCGCGGGCTTGCTCAGCGCCTGCGCGCTCGGCTCTGGGGAAGCCTCCAGAGAATGAAAGCTGGACCCCCCCCCCCACCTCTCCCAGCCCCTTATCCGACCAGAGTTAACTTTGGGGGAAGGAGAATGGTTGGCTTCTGGTCCGTAGGAATTACTGATTTTCAGGGAAGACCGTGAACTCTGCTTGGAGCAGGACGCGCCTTCCAGGACTCACGAAGCAACTGCTGGGGCAGCGTGTGTGGAACTACCTTGACCTGCATTTTTCATTTCTAAAAAGTGACTCTTTTGTTTTTTTAATTTTTTTAATGTCTTTATTTTGAGAGACAGAGAGAGAGAGCGAGTGGGGGAGGGGAAGAGAGGGGGGAGACCCAGAATCCGAAGCAAGCTCCCAGCTCTGAGCTGTCAGCACCAAGCCCGATGCGGGGCTCGAACTCACGAACTGGGATATCATGACCTGAGCCAAAGTCGGACACTTAACCAGCTGAGCCACCCAGGAGCCCCTTTCTTTTTCTTTTTTTTCCCTAAAAAGTCACTCTTATGCCAAAACAGAGAAGAGGGTTTTCATTTTCTGGTTTCCAGCAGGACATTGTCCCCTGGACTGGTCTCCTCCAGCCAGCAGAGTGAGGGGTGGGCTGTGTGGGCTTGCCTGGCCACGCCCTCAGTGCTGAGCCCCCACGGCCCCCGGCCCAGGATCCTGGCTGGTGTCCCGGCCCTGCCCCGGGGCCCGTGCCGCCACAGGGAGCAGGGAGGTCACTGATCACATATCTCGTTCGTTTGTGCATCAGGGGTTGTGGCCCAGCCAGCAGTGATGGTGTCTGCTCTGTCTCTATGCCAGTGTCCCCCCCCCCCCCAGGGCTGTTAGCCGCTGTCACACCTTATCTGTTGTTTTCTGGAGGTATGTCCCTGGGTTCCTCTGTGGGACAGCCCGCAGCGGCTTCGGGGGCAGGGTCTCCGTCCTGGCAGCTCAGGGCCCACACCTACCGTGGAGACGGAACGGGCACACGTGTTCAGTTCCAGGGGGCCAGGGTCCCTGCAGGCGCGGCCACTTTCACCGGCTCCTGCCCTCCCATATCCCTTGCTCCTTTCTGGGGACGCACAGTGCCAGGCTGGGCCGACCCTGCTGGCTGTAGGCAATCAGGGGCACCAGGAGCTCGCTGAGGGGCATGGAGACTGAGCTTCCCTCTCGTTCTGCTTTGATTTTCTGATGCAAAGCTGCTGAGATCCCATTAAGCCCAAACCTGCGGGGCTCTGGTGCAGCCTCCACGCTGCCGCTGTGCTGTCCGCCATCCAGCGTCCCCTCCGCTCTGCCAGGAAGGGGCCCAGCACTCAGCACCACGGACAGGGCAGGAGGAGCTCAGTGCTCTGCATGACGTGTCTGGGTCCCGGGGCTGTACCACGAGGGACCACAGACTGGGGCCTGCAAACAGCAGACATCTGCTCTCTCACAGTCTGGAGGCCCAAGTCCCCAATCCAGGTGTGGGCAGGGCCTCTCTGGAAGGCCTAGGGGAGGACCCTTTCTGCCTCTGGTGGCTCCTGGCTGGTGGCCACATCACTGCAGCCTCTGCCTCCACCATCCCGTGGCCTCTCTCTTCTGTCTGTTCTTCTCTTCTAAGGACTCTCGTCTTAGGATTTTGGGCTCCCCCAGATAATCCAGGAGGGTTTCATCCTGAGAGCCTTGACCCGGGAGCATCTGCAAAGACCCTTATTTTCCAGTAAAGTCATATTCTGAGGTTCTGAATGGACTTACCTCTTGGGGAGCCACTGTTCAGCCCAGTACAAATGCTTTCTCTCTCAACAGCTTGATTCTTAGTAGATGCGAGCTTGCTTTCTCTTTCACAAAATCATGAAGTGGGGAAAATCTGTGCCCCAAGTGACCCCTTTCGCCACCTGGATGTGAGTCCTTCCCTCATGGGAGCCAGTGGGAAAGTCAGCACCCACCCCAGATGAGGGGTGGCTCTGGGGTACAGAAGGGAGGGCCCTCGTTTTTGAGAAAGACAGTCATACATCCAGGGCCAGGGGACAGCCCGGGGACCTGGGTCCTGAGAGCAGCCTCCCCAGAACAGAATTGAGAGGCCCTACGCGTCTCCGGCATGGGGGCTCCAATGAGGGACCAGTCACTTTCCCGTGCGTGGCAGAAGACAGGTCAGCCCCAAGACGTGTAGAAATGACAAAATGGCAGCACACTATAGCACAGAACGTAGGGCTGCCCTTCTCGCTGGGCACAGAACTAACTCATCCTGGGTTGAGTGTACAATGTGATCACATAAGCACTATTTTTTTTTTAAGTTTATTTTAGTTATTTTGAGAGGGAGAGTGCAACAGGGAAGAGGCAGAGAGAGGGAAAGGGAGTCTGAAGCAGGCTCTGTGACATCAGCGCAGAGCCTGACACGGGCCTCGACTTCAGGTACCGTGAGATCATCACTTGAGCCAAAACTAAGAGTTGGACACTTAACCGCCTGAGCCACCCAGGTGCCCCAAGGACTATTTTTTAGTAATGAAATTTTCACAGAAAAGGCACATGGAGGCCACTGAGCCGGTGGACCCCCCGGGGCTGTGGTCACAGTGTGGCAGGTGTCACAGCCAGCACCTGGCCCCTGGGGCCATGCCACAAAACGTCTCTGAGACCCACAGCCCTGGAGGATGCGCTGTAAGAGGCTGCTCCTCCTGGGAGGGGTGACCCCCACCCTTGGAAGGCTGGTCTGGTGCAGTGGAGAAAAGCCCAGAAATGTAGACATGTTGCCAGGCACACATGCCGCCTGTCTGTGAGCTCCCTGTGGCTGCTGTGTGGCTGACCACAGAATTGGTGGCTTAGAAGCTTCACACACTCCCTTACGGTGCTGGAGGTCAGGCGACTAAAAGTGGCCTGTGGGCAGCGCTGTTGCCTTGCCTTCTCCAGCCCCGAAGCCTCCGCGTCTGTCACCACCTCTTCCTCTCGCCTCTGCGGCCTGCTGCCTTCCTCTGAGGGGGACCCTGCTGGGCCCTGTGGGGTCAACCAGACATCACTCGGGGCCGATGAAGCCTAAAAACCAGAACTTACTTTTATAGGGTCACCTGCTCCATTGCTGGTTTTTTTGTTTTTGTTTTTAAGTTGAGATGTTAAAATGCCAAGGCAGCTGTTAAGGAAGTAAAAGAGGAACGTCGTTCCCGTTGATTCCGTGGTCTGGGAAGCCCGGGGCAGGAGTTGTGTCGTGGAGAAGCCATCTCCCCAGACTCTTGGGTAGGAAGTGAGGGATCTTATAGAAAATGCTTTGGGCTGCAAAGCAGTTATGTAAGAGATGCCAAAGTTACTTCAACATGTCCGTGCTTTTCTGAGAAAGCTCACTGTCACTGCTCTTTTTGGAGCTTAAACACTGAGCTGTTCTTGCCGTTTGAAGTGCTTGGCAGCCCAGCGGCTGCAGGAGGAGCAGCTCTGTGTTACTGTTTTCTTCTCCAGACCCCCGCTGTGTGGCCCTGGGGGCAGGGCGGGGCCATTCCAGGCCACAACAGGCGGCTCAGCCCTGATCCTGGAACAGAGGGGCTAGGGGTCGGAAGGGTGATTTACGCCTCGCTCGGAGGGGCATAGGCTGTGCCTGTCCCGTGGCCCAGGAACCGCACTTATCC